ATTCCTTCTTGACCGCAGAATGGCAGTCAGATTTATCCTTGGATCAAGCAGTTATTACCCTACATTGAAAGATTATATCCTTGAATATTCTGTTTTTGCAAGTATGCATCTAGTAGCTGTTTGAACATCTGTATGGACTCTGATAAAACCACTTCTTCAGGCAGAGAATTCCACATCCTTACTGTTCTTACAGTAAAAAAACCTTTCCTTTGCCTTAGACGAAATCTTCTTTCTTCCAGTCTAAACGCATGACCTCATGTCCTATGTAAAGTCCGGTTTGTGAATAGATTTCCACACAATGGTTTGTATTGGCCCCAAATATATTTGTATAATGTTATGATATATCCCCTCTCAGGCAACATTTTTCTAAACTAAAGAGGTTTAAATTTGTTAACCTTTCTTCATAGCTGATATGTTCCATTCCTATTAATTTTGTAGCCCGCCTCTGCACTTTTTCTAGTGCCATAATATGCTTCTTTAGAACAGGTGCCCAAAATTGCACAGCATATTCAATATGTGGTCTTACCAGTGATTTATAAAGAGGCAAAATGATATTCTCATCCAGAGAATGAATGCCCTTTTTTATGCATGACAATACCTTACTGGCCTTGGCCACTGCTGATTGACATTGCACATTGTTGCAAACTTTGTTGTCTATAACAATTCCCAAGTCCTTTTTGTGTGTTGTTTTCCCTAATTCGCTTCCATTAAGGGTATACGTTGCTTGTGTATTCTTTACGCCGAAGTGCATAACTTTGCATTTTTCAACATTATCAGTCTATCTAAATCCTTCTGCAGCAAAGAAATATCTTGTTCATATTATTATTTTACAGAGTTTTGTGTCATCTCAAACACTGAAACATGACTTTCATGCTGTCTTCAAGATCATTTATAAACATGTTAAATAGAAGGGGTCCCAGAACAGACCCCTGAGGGACACCACTTGCCTCCTCTGTCCAGCTTGAAAATTTACCATTAATGACAACTCTTTGTACTCTGTTTTTAAGCCAGTTTTCTACCCAAGAACAAGCATTTTCATATAGACCGATTTCCTTGAGTTTGAACACTAATCCATTGTGTGAAACTGTATCAAATGCCTTGGCAAAATCCAAATAGATCACATCCACTGCAACACCCTGATCCATACTTCTACTTACTTCTTCGTAGAACGCAATCAAGTTAGTTTGACATGACCTGTGCTTCATAAAACCGCGCAGATTTTTGCTGATAACCATGTTCTTCTCAAGGAATTCTTGAATATTATCCCTTAATAACCTTTCAAATATTTTCCCAGCCACAGAAGTTAAGGTCACAGGTCTATAATTTCCAGGCAAGGATTTTAAACCCTTTTTGAATATAGGAACCACATCTACCTTCCTCCAATCATCAGGAACACTACTTCACTTATTTCTACAGGTTCACTTATTTCTACACTTAGTTCCTTAAGTACTCATGGATGGATACCGTCAGGCCCTGGAGCTTTGTTTATATTAACTTTCTTTAGTTGCTGCAGCACCTTGTCTTAAATTAACCAATTACAATTATTCTGCAAGTTTTTAGTAGTAATCATTTGCACATCTATTGCCATGGGTTATTCCTTAATATACACGGAGGAGAAATAGTTATTTAAAATTCCTGCCTTTTCCTGGTCTTCATTAACTAACACCACCGTTTCAGTTTTTAGTGTACCTACACTTTCATTTTTGGATTTTTTAGAATTTATGTATTTAAAAAATGCTTTGGGGTTGGTTTTCATTTTGAAATTTAGCAAATCTTATTGCCTTTTTGCACGCATTATTTGCTTCCTTATATCTTTTATAAGATGCATCTGATTTGTCTGATTTAAATGCTTTAAATGCCCTTTTCTTATTTTTAATCTCTTGTTTTTCTTCTCTACTAAGCCACATTGGTTTTAATTTGTTTCTTTTATATTTATTTCCCAATGGTACATACTGAGAAATGTACCTTTCTAATATTTGTTGGAAGATGATCCATTTATCCTCAGTTTTCTTTTCACTAAATAGTTTATGCCAGTCAATATATTGTAAAGCTGCCCTTAACTTATTGAAATTGGCCTTTTTAAAAATAAATGTTTTAGAATACCCCATGTGCTTTTGTTTTTTTGAGTTTATTTCAAAGGACACTATATTGTGATCACTATTTCCCAAGTGCTCACCTACTTGAATGTTGGTCAAAAGATCAACGTTGTTTGTTAAAACCAGGTCCAGACAAGCGTCCATTCTAGTTGGTGCTTGTACAAGTTGTGACATGAAGGTGTCATTTAACAAGTTTAAAAACCTAATTCCCTTTGCTGAGCTACTAGTCCCTCTGTCCCAATTTATGTCCGGGTAATTAAAATCTCCAATAATTAAAGTGTTACCCAGATTTGCAGCTTTCTCAATTTGCTCAAACAGCTGTTGTTCCTCGTCAATAATAACATTAGGTGGTTTATAACATATCCCAACCAATAGTTGGGTTCCCTTCTTTTCCCCCAAGCAGATATTTACCCATAAAGCTTCCACATTTTCCTCATCGCATTCCACTTGCTTAAGATTTGGCTTTAAATCATGGTTGACATACAAACATACCCCACCACCCTTCTTGTTTTTACTATCCTTCCTAAATAACACGCACCCATTTAAATTAACTGCCCAGTCATGTGTCTCATCCCACCATGTTTCAGTTATGTCTATTATATCATATTGTTTAGTGTATGCTACTGCCTCTAGTTCCCCCATTTTGTTATGTAGGCTCCTTGAATTAGTAAGCATACATTTAATATCATGAGTCACTTGTACTTTTTACATAGCTTCTCTGTTCTGAGCTTGCCCCTCCCCCCATCCCCACCCCCCTTATACTGTGCTAAAGTCCATCTCCTTTCTGTCCTATCTCCATTTTGTAGATTGCTATGACCCTCCCCCCCCCAACTACTAGTTTAAAATCTCCTCCAACCTTCTAGCCATCCTATCCCCCAGCACTGCAGACCCTCTCTTGTTTAGGTGCAATCCATCACTACTATAAAGGTTGTACCCAATCGCAAAGTCAGCCCAGTGCTCTAAAAACCAAAAACCCTCCTTCCTGCACCAAGACTTAAGCCACGCATTGACCTCTCTAATCTCCTGCTGCCTTTCCACTGTAGCACGTGGCACAGGTAATATATCAGAGAATACCACCTTGGAGGTCCTTTTCTTAAGTTTGCTACCCAATTCCCTGAAATCATTCTTTAGGACCTTCCATCTTCCTCTTACTTTGTCATTGGTACCAACATGGACCATGACTGCTGGGTCATCCCCAGCCCCTCCCAATAATCCATCCAGTCTGTCAGCAACATGCCGGACCCGAGCACCTGTCAGACAGCAAACTGTCCGGTTGAGCTGATCAGAGCGGCAGATTGCCCTATCTGCTCTCCTAATGATAGAGTCGCCTACCACCACAACCTGTCTTGCCTTCCTTACATTTTGATCCCCACCCGTACTAGGGGGGCTGTTACCTCGGCTGTTAGAAGTAACAGCTTCCTCTAATACAGCTACTCCTGAGCTGATGCTCCCAACATCTTCCCTCAAACGGGCAAATCTGCTAGGTTGCACCAAATCAGGACTAGCTAGCTTTCCTCTTCCCTCCCCCCCTGCTTCCTCGCCCCACTGTCACCCAGCTACATGCCTGTTCCCCATCTGTCTTATCTCCTCCCTCTCCACTACCTGTCCCCACTAAACTCTGCTCAGTGAGCAGCAGACTCCTCTCAAAATTGTCAATCTCCCTCAAAGTTGCGATTTGCTTCTCGAGATCTCCAATCTAAGCTTCCAAAGAAGCCACTCTCACACAACCGTCACAGAGGTATGGACCCTGGACGGGTAAATCCAGGCACCCATACATGCAACAAGATGTGCATTGAGTCAAACCACCAATCTTGCTAACACTCATTTCCCCAGATACAGAACAATAAAACAATTACCTTATTAGCTTAAACCCCTTGTTAGTTTCAACTCCTGGTTTTCTAACTCCTACTTGAAAGAGTCTACTTAATAGAGTCTGCTTTCAAGTCATGTATAATATATATATATATATATATATATATATATATATATATATAATGTATATATTATATATATCCTTTGACAGTATTTTATTTTTTGTGGCAGGGAAATTGTTTAACAGTTTAACAGTAATTCGGGTCAAATTTGGTTGCAATCTGGTTCAGTTAATTTGAAATGAGTCTCACTGCATTTAAAAATAGCAGGGATTCATTGGCTCAGTTCATTTAGCATTCAGTTGTTAGTGAATAGATTTTACAGAGGAATTTTAACAACCGAATGCAGGAGGAGACCTCAGCCAAATGCAATCAGACTCAATAACAAAAGCAAATTTGGCATTTAGTGAATAGTTTCTCATGACTATGTGGCACCAAGTATACTGATTCAGGTAATTTTCCTAATTACAAGCAATCTAGAAGAGTGATGATCTCTGACTTGAGTAATCTGAAAACTGCAGTGATCTTTCTGCCACAATATAATATTGTTATTCCAAACAAAAAAAACTGTTTGTCATCAGAACAGCCCTATCCTCTTTTCCCCCAAAAAGAAAAAAATGGGGGGGGGCTGGGCCTAACCATCATGGTGGAGAGGCATGCTTCACTGGAGCATCTCTCCTATGTTGCCTAAAACTGCAGTTTTTCAGCTCACATCAGCCTCAAGGAGAAAGACCAGAACGACATACCAAATTCTAGACCCAATGGTGACCCACTGTAGGGTTCCAAAGCTTGAGTAACTCACCTGCTGCATGGCACTGATCATGTGGCCTAGTGCGCACCGGTCAAGGGAGGCCGATTCCCAGAGCCCGGGGTGCCCGACGGCATTCAACACTGAGCAGAAGTCCCGTAATGCCCCCCCCCACCCCCTTGGACCGGCAAGGGTAATCCCGGTCCACCCTCTGGAGGCTACCCTGACCTGCTGGGTTCTCAAAGCGCCACCACTACTCTTGCAAATCTCAGAGACTTAACCAAAATGGCCCTGACACCAGAGAGAGGAAACTCGATATCATGTCCAGGCTGCAGAGGATCTTTGACGATTTATGACGAAATGGTGGAGAAAAAGCTGTACCAAGCTGTCATGAGCAAATCCTGTGAACACTCACAGCAAAAGCTGACTCCAAGCCGACAGTACAAGTTCGCTGCTGAAGCAGCACATCTGGCCCCAACATGCGCGAGAAGGGAAATGTGTACCGTTACAATGTGGAGCGACACACAAAAAAGTACTGATGCGATCCAGTGCAGTGACTACTCAACAGTTGGAGGTCCTGAAGGAATCCCACCTCAAGCTGTATGGCTCAGCTAGCCCAAACCAGTCAAGGTTCAGAGGCCTGAATTTCATCCTGCAGTTATGGGACTTTGCTATACCCCTAGATGGTGTGGGCTAATTTGAGCTCTGAGGCTACATCTGAAGTTTTTGTATTTTTACAGACCATATAAACTTAAACCTTGTTTATTTGGCCTGTGTTAGCCTTTGAGTTTGACATGCTTGATCCAGAACAATATTAAATATTTTCAAAAGTCATTTTACAACTGAAGAGTGGTTTATCCAAACAAAAGCTATTATCAAAAGTCCATTTAAAATTCATGCTGCTATTTCTTTTACCTTTCAACTTAAATTCTGAAAAATGTGCTGCCTAAGAAAATCACAGCAGTATATCTAAAAAAAATGTGTTTTTGCTCAATCAAAGAACATATTGTCTATCCAAACAGTCACTTTTTATTTTTAAATTCTTACAAATAAGTGTACTGTGTTATTTACTTTACATACTTATTTCTGTGGGGTTTTATTTTTCCAGTCTGTATTTGAAGAATTTTGCTATGAAATGCTGCACATACAGATTTTAACCCCTCTGCTGTTGGAGGTGTAACTTAATCTCCAGCAAAATCATTGTCAGGTCATCAAGTTCTGTGCCAGCAATTTAATGCACTGCCCCCTCCCTTCCTCAAATTAATACACTGCCCCCTACTCAATTTAATACACTTGCCCTCTCCCTCCCTCAAATTAATACAGTGCCCCTCCCTCAAGTTAATACACTGCTCACTCCCTCCCTCAATTTAATACACTGCCCCCTACTCAATTTAATACACTTGCCCTCTCCCTCCCTCAAATTAATACACTGCCCCCTACTCAATTTAATACACTTGCCCTCTCCCTCCCTCAAATTAATACAGTGCCCCTCCCTCAAATTAATACACTGCTCACTCCCTCCCTCAATTTAATACACTGCCCCCTACCTCCAATTAATACACTGCCCACTTCCCCAATTTAACACACTACACAGGAAGGTCCTCCAAGCCCCCTCTTCCCCTACCTTAAGATAAGCAGTCTGTCCTCCAGTTCCAGCCTTGCTCTTCTCTGCTCAAGCAGGCCAGACACTCCTCTGGCATTGCGAACAGGAGAGAAGGGGGAGTGGCTGGCCTATGGGAGCAGGAAATTGGATGAGGGTGGGAAGACAAGAATCAGACAGGGAATATCTTTCCTGTCTGGCGGCTGCTTGCAGCCACAACACAAAGTGGCCCCAGGGTAGGTGGGCTGCAAATAGATCCATTGTGGGCCGCAAGTTTGACATGCTTGTTATAAATGTTTAGTGGATTCAAAAAGCTTTAATTTCCAACCCTGATTGTCAGTCTCAAATTATAGTGGAAAGGTTGAAACATAAGTGTGAGCCTGGAAAAAAGGATTGCAGATTCATTGTGCGAACATTCGTAATTTTTAAGTGGACATTTTTACACTAATCTAAAGCACACAATACACATGAAAACTCATAAAAACTCTTTGAAATCAGTATCAGTATACCTGCTTGCCACTTTTTAATTGTATGCAGGAGTCATCCGGCTCTGTGGTTGTCAGCTTGCAGTGACCAAAACATTATGGCTCATGCAAGCTTACTTTCACAGAGAGTGGACCTTTCACATCATGGGCAGTGGTGTATTCTGGTTTTGTGCTGCCCTAGGCATGACAAAACTCAGGCAGCCCCCGGCTACTCCTTCCAAATTTCTCTTCCTGACAGACACATGCCCTCACTGATGCATACACTGACATACACTAACTTACAGATACACAGGCATTGTCACACACACTGTTTAACCAACACACACGTTCACTGAAACGTACACATTTACAGACATATACACTCACTCATTCACAGTTACACACACACTGACAAACAGCCAGAGTGACGTCATATTCTGGCTCCGGCATCACTGCGGGTTGTGAGAGGGAGATGAGCAGGAAGAGCTCAGGGGAGAGCGCTCCCTCACCGTCTGCAACATCAGGAGATGCCAAGGCATTTGCCAGGGCGTTTGGGGGGCAGCTTTTTTGGCAAATGCCTTGTCATCCTCCTGCTAAATACAGTACTGATCATGGGAGGGGACCTTTCACATCATGTCCTCTAGGGAGCAGAGCAGTCATCACTGTGTCCTCTTGAGTCCAGAATCAACTGTGTCTTGCTTCATTGTCGCGGGAGATAAGTGTGAAGCAATGCAGTGTTTATATGATATATATTTGGGCCATGTCAGTTTTAATCTGTAGGATTGTTTTTATTTTTTTATTTTTTTTACAGACCCTCCTTTTCGAAGACTTTATATTTCAAAGTATGCATATAGTGAAATACACCATCGTGTTTCTTGAATAATAATAATAGGGAAAAGGTTTAGTGAGAAGTAATTCATGGTTTAAATAATCTATATTTGAAGGGATTTGCAAACTTCATAGATGGACAAGGTGACAAATTCTCAATGTAGCAATGGAACAGTCAGTAAAAACTAAGGAGTGGACTCCTGTGGTGGTCTGCCCCCATCCCAACCCCACAATGTGAATCATGTGAATTATAAAACAGAAGAAAATATATGAACTGTAGTGAGTCATGGTATTTCCTATTACATGATTAAATGATTAATATTTTTATAATATTTTGTACATAAACTTAATTTTTATTTAGAAAGCCAAAATTTTAATTTATATATTTGCAGTCTTATTTTGACATATTTTAATATTAATGTAATCTAGTCTTATAATCATATTTTGCTTTAATATTTTCATTTTTGGGAAAATGAAATTACTTATTAAGTTTCAATCTCCAAAGCATTTTAAAATGTAATTACTCATGATTTAGGACAGGGTTTCTCAATCTTTTTATTATTAAATATAACTGGTTAGTGATTGTTAAATATTGGTGCATACATTTTCTGTCTTTTTTTAGCGTATAGTTCTAATTACTTGAGGGGTGGGTTATGCTAATTGGGAAATACAAAACCACACCAATGTATTTATATATGTGAGTGTGTATATATAGTTTGTCTATTGTATTTTTAAAATATTTTATCCTATTGTAACAATGCAATGTTTTGTGGACAAAGACCCAGGACATACTTGAAAACGAGAGAAATCTCAATGTATCCATCCTGGTAAAATATTTTATCAATAAATAAATATTTTACAACCTCAACTAATTTCTCTTATACATAAAACCTGAACGTAAACAATATGTTGTGTAGTAACTGTTTCATGCTCTAAAATTTCTATTTCTAAAATTTCCTCTGTAATTGTATTTAGTTATGCAGTGATATGACATCATACTCACTGCATTTATGTTCACCAGCTCTTAGCTCATTAACGTATGGTTTTGCATAAGCCTCCCCTCAAGTAATTAGTTGGATTGGATTTCTCATTGGACACAATTTAAAAAAAAACCCACTAGAAGCGCTCACTAAAATGAAGAACAGAAATGTATTTGGCACAAGTTCAAATAGTTGGAAATAAGGCAAATAAAATCACCTTATGCATTTCAGACCACCGGGTCTTTAGACATAGGAATATCTCATACACTCAATGTGCCCTTTAAAATGTGCCACTAAACCTGGTTCAAGAGAAACTGCTCCCCACTACCAAACTCTTAAAGGTACACAAACTTTTTATAAAAACAACAATGTTATCTCTATCTAAAAGGTTACTGTCAAATGTGTTGGTGACAATGAAAAGACAAAAAACTTCTTATTAGCTTATTTATCCAGATAAAGGGCTCATTATGCATATGAGATATTCCTATGTCTAAGGACCCATAGATCTTTTTTTTTCTCCCTCCTGTTTGATCTTGTGCTGGATAAACATCTATTTGATTTTAGTGAGCGCTTGTTGTGGCATGCTTTTGTTATTTATGTCCAGATTTTCTCAGAGACTTGGAGTCTCTTCATCTAGCGTCTCTTCTATCATTGGGTAATTGGAGTCTTTTTGTTTCCTTGCACCTTTTGTTTCTCCGCACCCATGTTCAGTAGAAACAAAAATTTATATTTTTGAGTATAAAGAGACCCTCATCGAAATAGAGTGTTTAGTGTTAAGAGGATTAAAAGCTTGAGAAGAGTTAATGTTTTGGCATACAAAGTGTTTATAGTTAATGGGTTTGGGTCAGAGTGGGATTTAGTATCGTTTTTGGCTACAAGTGTTTATGATTATTGAGTTTAGGGTTAGAGTGGGGTTAAATTTTGTTTGAATTTGGGGTACATGAAATGTTGAGCCTTTGCCCTTGGCATTCATGTGGATGTTGCTTTGACACGTAACACCTACGTAGAGATTGTTGCCTACCATATGCACCCCTATCTGGCAATGGTGTTCCCTGATGACAGTGGCCTATTTCAACAGCATAATACATCCTTGCACACTGCAAAAGTTTGGTTTGAGGAACATGACAAAGAGGTCAAAGTGTTGGCCCCCAAATTCCTTTGATCTTGTGCTGGAACAACAAATCCAATTCATAGAGACCCCACCTTGCAACTTGCAGGACTTAAATTATCTGTCTTTGTGACAGATACCACAGGACATGTACAGAGGTCTTGTGGAGTCCATGTATCAACGCATCAGAGCTGTTTTTGATTTTAGGCTGGTGGTTTTAATGTTGTGGCTGATCAGTTTTTAAATGCTAAGATATGCATTTAGATGTGTTATGTTTGCAATGTCCAGTTACTATATTCATTAAAATCAATTTCTTTATGGAGGAGATATGGGTAACACTCAGTGCCTTAGAATTCTCTGCATGCAGGTACCTGAAATGTAAATCCAGCCCTGGTACTCACACCAAATTAAATATAATAGATGTCACCGCAGGTACATTAAAATGCATCTGGTACTAAACGAATGTGAAATTTATCAGATTTCAGATGAAGGCAATTGTACTGTGTATGGGTACTTAATTAGACACATGGAAAAGGGCATCTGAGCACTTAAACAAATGATACATTTTTTTTCAAACATATGTCAGAACAAAGTGATATTCATTTTGTTGGATAATCAATAAGGAAGTTATTATA